AAGAGAGGCAATTTTAAAAAGCCACACTGCGTTTGACGGCCACAAACCAACTCAACAAAGGAGCCACTAAACCCATTTCACCGACAGGGAAGACTGAGGCTGCGTCTGCACTCCTGAAATAATCGAAGGCTGCCTCCACGCTTTAATTCTTCCTGGCTCAAGGCTATGGTATTCTGGGAACTGGAGTTTGTTGTGGGGCCCTTAACTGCTCCTGGCTCAAGGCTATGGGTAGGCAACCTTTCCCCTTTAAGGGCCGAGGGACTTCAGCTCCCAGAATCCCAGGAGCTATTAGCCAACATGGGACTATTGGCCAACATGGCTGAGGCTTCTGGGAGCTGAAGTCCCTCGGCCCTTAAAGGGGAAAGGTTACCTACCCCTGCTCAAGGCTATGGAATTCTCCGCTCAGGGCCCCACAACAAACTTCAATTCCCAGAATTCCATAGCCTTGAGCCAAGGCAGTGACAGCAGTGCCAAACCGGGTTATTTCTCCAGTGCGAACGCCGCCTGAGGAAAGTGGCTTCTTCCTTCTCCTCCTCCCCTTCCCTCTTCTCGGCTCCTACTCACCTCCGCGACTCCGTGGCTTTGGCCCGAGGGCGCGAACCAAAGCGGCGGCGCGGCAGCGGAACATAATGGCGGCGGGATCCTCCTGAAGGAGCTTCGCCGGTCTCCCACTCGGCGCTTCCTTCCGCGCATGCGGTCCGGCCGCCCTGCGCATGCGTGTTTCCCAGACCGGAGGTGGCGCTCTAGCCCTCCACTCTCTATGCCCACCGCAAACGCTAGTCCTCCAGATTTTTTTTTCTGGACTTCAGCTCCCAGAAGCCCTCGCCATGTTGGCTAAGGGTCTGGGATTGTGGGAGGTGGAGTCCAAAAAAACCTGAAGTTGAGAATCACTGAGGCGTGAGGCGTGACGGCCCCTCAGTCCTCCTGAGGCGCGAGAGGATGTGGAGAGTGTGGTGCTCCCGTCGTGCGGCTTCGGCTGCGGCGCCTCCGCCTTCTTCCCGGCCGCTCTGCGGAGGCAGACGGTCCTCGTCCGGGGAGAAGGCGAAGGCGAAGGCGGCCCTCATCTCCACGCCCATCTTCTACGTGAACGGCCCGCCCCACATCGGGCACCTCTACTCGGCGGTGCTGGCCGACGCTCTCCACCGGCACCGGCTCCTGAGGGGAGGCAGCGCAGGAGGGGCCCTGGCCACCGGTCAGTCCCCAGGAAGAAGCCCCGAGGGCCCCAGGGAGGGAAGGAGGGAGGGAAGGAAGGGCCCCACGCGGCTGGGTTGGTTGCGGTTGCTGCTGTTGTGTGCCTTCAGGTCGTTTCTGGGGCAAGCCTTCTTCTTTGCCTTCCTCTGAGGCTGAGAGAGTGTCACCTGCCCAGGGTCTCCCAGTGGGCTTCTTCAGAGGGGGTTTGCCTTTGCCTTCCTCTGAGGCTGAGAGAGTGTGACTTGCCCAAGGTCTCCCAGTGGGTTTCTACAGAGGGGTTTTCCCATTGCCATCCTCTGAGGCTGAGAGAGTGTGACTTGCCCAAGGTCTCCCAGTCAGCTTCTTCGGAAGAGGTTTGCCTTTGCCTTCCTCAGAGGCTGAGAGAGAGTGACCTGTCCAAGGTCTCCTACTGAGTTTCTTCAGAGGAGGTTTCCCATTGCCATTCTCTGAGGCTGAGACAGTGTGACTTGCCCAGGGTCACCCAGTGGCTTTCCATAGCCGAACAAGGATGCAAAACCATGTCTCCAGAGAGTCACAGTCCAATGCGCAAACCACTACACCATGCTGCCTCTCTTTATTTATTTATTTCTCACAAAACTACAGTTCCCCGGATTCCCTAACATTGAGGCAAGACAGTTCAAGTGGTCTCAAACTGGATTATTTCTGTAGTGTGTTTTGGACCAATGGAAACTTAAAATCCCCCTTTGAGCCTCATGGCCAGACAGTGGTTTCAGACCAAATCTTCCTGCTTTAAATTCATGTTCTGCTCACCCCACTGCTCAGTTTTTGGTCCAAGTGAGAAATAACTTTTTAAAATTTATTTTTATTGTTTTACTAATTTATAAGCGTACAGAAATCATATCAGAATTCTTCTTACAAATATAAAATTCTTTGTTCATTGGGTCATAAAGCAAGAACTTGGGGGGGAGGGATAAAAGGTTGAAATGAGAATAAGAAATTTGAAACTTGAATTAGAGCTGAAGGAATCTTCTTCCTTTTTGGAATTTAAAAGGAGGGAAGTGACAAAAAGAGTGAATATTTTGATAAAATAGAAGGGTCTTAATGCCTTCGGAAGAGAACATGGGAAGTGTGGTGAGAAATTATTAATTTTGGAATTTCATGTAAGATAATGTTGAAATGACTCAAATGAGAAATAACTTTTAAGAGATTGCTGAGGTTTTTGGGGTCACTATGCAGTGATTCTTATCTTTTAAGTGCATGCCTGCAGAAGGACAGGTTTTTGGGTGAGGCTGAGAAGAAGGAAGAAGCATTTACAGGAAAATGCCTATTTTCTACTAATGCAGAGTACTGTGCAGAAACAAAAGTGAAACTCTCATGGATTCATAATAGATATTGCAAGATGTGGGTTGAGGCAAACAAGCTATGAGGGCTATTCAGTTGTGGGCAGATTGCTCTAATAGGAAAGTGGTGGTGAAATCTGGAAATGAAAATAGAGCACTCTTCCCCAACTTGCTACCTTCTAGGTTGGGAGGAGGACTGGGAACCAGTGTTAAATTATTGTAAGAAGAAGTGGTCTCATTACTGTATATTACTCATGTATACGTCTAGAAATTTTAGTCAAACAATTGACCAAAAAAAACCCACCCTGGGTTATCTTATCCGTGAGTCAATGTAAGTACCGTACTTTAATTCACACACACACACACACACATATGTGTGTGTGTGTGTGTGTGTGTGTATATATATATATATATATATATATAGTGGTCTCGTTATAGTTGGGGGATCCATTTTGGATCCCTCCCGCGTATGGAAAAAACCATCCCATTGATTCTAATGGGCGCACATGCCATTTTGTCCCCCCAGTCTTGCGTCTGCGGGAGCTCAAGTCCATGGATGGTAAGCCCATATATTGGGCCGGCACACTCTATGTGTGTATGTTTATTTATATATGTATATATAGGAGCTGTCCCCTTTCTCTGAATAGAGTGGTAAAAGGCGAGAGTTTAGGGCCCGTACAGACTGCCAGAAATAATCCAGATTGAGACCACTTTAACTGTCCTGGCTCAGTGCTAAGGAATCATGGGAACTGTAGTTTATTGTGGCACCAGAGGTCTCTGACAGAGAAGGCTCAATGTCTCAGAAAAAATTATAATTCTTATGATTCCCTAGCACAGAGCCAGGACAAAGTGGCCTCAAGATGGATTAGTTCTGGCAGTCTGTAGTCCACCCCAAGAACACCAAAAAGAAGCATGGATCCCCTCTGCTCTCTCATCTGTCCAACCTTTAGGATGAGCCCAAACAGTTATGCCTGCCAGAATTTTCTAAGTTCTTTTGCATGCTTTTCCTTGGCATCATCCTTTACATCCTTTGTTATATGCCCCTAAGTTTTACCCTCAACTTATCCATGGATCATACCCAAATCCATAATGTGAAGTCAAAGGCTTTCACAGCCGGCATGTATAAATCAAGGGCAGGTTTGGGGGCCAAGATTATGTATTTTGGGGGGGGGGGGGTTGGGCTGTGTGGCTGTGTTCTAGAAGAATGTAT